TGTCTTATTGCTCTGGCTAGGACTTCCAGTATTATATTGAAAAGCAGTGGTGAGAGTGGACATCCTTATCTTGTTGCAGATCTTAATGGAAATGCTTTCAGCTTTTCACCATTGAGAATGATACTGGCTGTTGGCTTGTCATAGATGGCCTTTATGATGTTGAGGTATGTTCCTTGTATCCCAAGAATTTCAAGGGCTTTTATCATGAATGGGTGTTGCACTTTGTTGAAAGCTTTCTTAGCATCTATTGATATTATCATATGGTTTTTATATTTCTTTTTGTTGATGTGTTGGATAACGTTGATTGATTTTCGGATGTTGAACCATCCTTGTGTCCCTGGAATGAGTCCTACTTGGTTGTGGTGAATTATCTTATGGATACATTGTTGGATTCTGGTAACTAAAATTTTATTGAGGATTTTTGCATCAGTGTTCATTAGGGAGATTGGCCTGTAGTTTTCCTTTTTTGAGTTGTCCTTGTTTGGTTTTGGTATTAGTGTAATGTTGGCTTCATAGAACGTGTTTGGTATTGTCCCTTCCTTCTCAATTTTTTGGAAGAGTTTGTGAAGGATAGGCACTAATTCATTTCTGAATGTTTGGTACAATTCATTTGTAAATCCATCAGGTCCTGGGCTTTTGTTTTTGGGGAGGTTTTTGATTACCATTTCAATTTCGTTGCTTGTAACTGGTCGGTTTAGGTGTTCTATTTCTTCTTTATTTACCTTTGGGTGATTGTAGAGTTGTAGGAATTTGTCCATCTCCTCTAGATTGTTGAACTTGTTTCCATATAACTGTTCATAGTAGTTTCTGATTATTTTGATTTCTGCTGCTTCTGTTGTAATTTCTCCTCTTTCATTTGTGATCCTGTTTTTTTGTGTTTTCTCCCTTTTTTCCTTTGTGAGCCTGGCTAGGGGTTTGTCTACTTATTGATTTTTTCGAAGTACCCACTCTTGGTTTCATTGATCCGTTGAATTGTTTTTTTAGTTTCGATTTCATTTATTTCTGCTTTGGTTTTTATTATTTCTTTTATTCTACTGTTTTTGGGATTTTTTTGTTGTTCTTTTTCTAGATCTTTGAGCTTTGAGATTAGGTTGTTTCTTTGAGTTCTTTCTTGTTTCTTGATGTGAGCCTCTATTACTATATATTTTCCTCTTATAACTGCTTTTGCTGCATCCCATATATTTAGGAAATTGGTGTCCTCATTGCCATTCAATTCAAAGGATTTTTTAATTTCTTCCTTGATCTCCTCATTAGTCCAGCGGTCTTCCAGTAGTGTGGTTTTCGGTCTCCATGAGGTAGGAGTGTTCCTTGCCTTCTTTTTATGGTTTTTTTTAGTCCTTCATGGTCAGAAAAAGATGGTTGGTATGATTTCAATCTTGGTGTATCTGTTGATGTTTTTCTGGTGTCCCAGTATGTGATCAATCCTGGAAAATGATACATGTGCACTTGAGAACAATGTGTACTCAGATTTTTTTGGGTTTAGTGTTCTATAGATGTCTATTAAGCTCAAGCTCTCTAGATCCTTATTTAGAGCTTAAGTATCTTTACTTATTTTTTGTCCCGTTGATCTATCCATTGTTGATAGTGGTGGGTTGAAGACTCCCACTACGTATGTGTTTTTTCTGATGTCTGTTTTCAAAGATGACAATAGTTGTGTGATATATTTTGGTGCTCCTCCGTTTGATGAATATGTTAATGAGTGTTATTTCTTCTTGAAGTATTGTCCCCTTGATCATAATGTAGTGACCATTGGGGTCTCTTTTTATCTTTTTGAGTTTGAAATCTGTTTTATCTGATATAAGTATAGCTGTTCTTGATTTCTTTTTTGGTCCATTTGCTTGTAGGATTGTTTTCCATCCTTTAACTTTGAGTCTATTTTTATCTTTTGTAGCTAAATGTGTTTCCTGGAGACAGCAAAAGGTTGGGTTTTGTTTCTTAATCCAGCCTGCGACTCTGTGTCTTTTTATTGAAGAGTTTAGTCCATTTACATTTAGAGTTAATATTGATATGTTAGCATCTGTATTTGCCATTGTGTTTGTCTTTCCTTTGATTTTATTTATTTATTCTTTTAATAACTTTTTTTTGGCCTACTTTTTTTTGTTATTCGTCCCTCTGAGGTTCTAGCTTTAGGACTCCTTGTATTATTTTTTGGAGTGGGGGTTTAGTCGTAATGAAATTCCAAAGTTTCTGTTTGTCTGGGAAGGTCCTTATTCTTTCTTCACAGAGGAAGGAGAGCTTTGCGGGAGAGTATTCTTGGTTGGCATCTGTTTTCTTGGAGTCTGTTGACTATGTCCCCCTACTCTCTCCTTGCCCGTAGTGTTTCTTCGGAGAAGTCTGATGTCAACCTGATTGGTTTTCCTTTGAATGTTATCTGTTTCTTCCCTCTTGTCAGCTTCATTATTTTTTCCTAGTCCTGGATTCTTGGGAGCTTTACTATTATGTGTCTTGCTGTATTTTTCCTTTCGTCGTGGAAGTTTGGTCTTCTTCTTGCTTCTTATATATCAATTTTCTGCTCCATCTTCACGTTTGTGAATTTCTCTTCAATTATCTCCTTGAATATTTTCTCTGTTCCTACATCTCTTTCCTATCCTTCTGGTATTCCTATAACTCTTATATTTCCTTTCCTCATGGAGTCAGATAGTTCCTGAAGTCTTTCTTCGGTCTTTTTCCTTCGTACTTCTCTTTCCTTTTCTGTTTTGCTTCTTTATATTTCTGTTTCTTCAAGAGTACTTATTTGTTCTTCCATTTCATGTATTTCTGCTTTCATTTCTTTTCCCAGAGTTCTTTTGTGCCTCCATTTATCTTTTATCTCCTGCATTTCTTTTACTTCCCTCTTTAGGGACTCAATTTCATTCTTCTCATCGTTGATTATTTTCCCCTTATCATTGTTTTCCTTTATGACTTCTGTCAGTTTTTTAATCATGGCAATTTTAAATTCTCTTTCTGGAAGACTCAGAAGTTCTTCCAAGTTACTGTCGTTGCAATCTGGGGGGTGGTTTTCTTTTTGTGGTGTCCTTTTTTTCCTGAGGAGTTACTAGGTTGCGTGTGGTTCTTCTACTCCCTGCTGTCTGTTTTCTAATTTGCTGTATGCATTGGGACAGTGTTGGTGGGACTGGCCGGCATCTTGGGTGAACTTCTCCATCCCCTCTGGCTCCTCCGGGAGCCATCTGTTGGTTTCAAGCAGTCTTTACTGAAGAAAGGTCCCTGTTCTAAAATGCTGATGCAGGGACACGCTCCCCTGCGCGCCTGGTCTGCCCCAGCGGTGGGTTCCCGCTCCCTCTCTCAGCTCGGACTGCAGGCCAGAAGTGGCCTGACATGGGAGAACTTCCCAGCTCACCTCTGGCTCCTCTGGGAGCCTTCTGCTGATTTCAGGCAGTCTTTACTTAAGAAATATCCCTGTTATAAAATGGCGATGCGGGACGCACTCCCTGCGTGCCCGGTCTGCCCCGGCGGTGGCTTTCCGCTCCCCCTCTGGGCCCGACTGCTGGTCAGAAGGGGCCTGGCGTGGGCGTACTTCCCAGATCACCACTGGCTCCTCCGGGAGCCTTCTGCCTGTTTCGAGCATCTTTGCTGAAGAAATGTCCCTGGTTTATGGGGTGTTGGTGATTTTTTTTTTCTGGTCTCTAGGTGGCGCCAGAGATTTCTCCTAGTGTCCTTGGAGAGCTGTTTTTTTTTTCACCCTGTGGGATGGGGAACAGAGTGGAAGTGGTGGGGAAAGCCTCAACGTCTTTGGGGTCTGTGTCTGCCTTGTGCCCCACTGTTGTAGGGAACCCACGCCCCGAATTTCGTGCCCCAGGTCTCAGTTCCAAAGCCCTCAGGCCCAGGACGCGGGCTGTAGCCCAGTTCAGTGTCCGCAGAAATGGCGCCTTTTGCACCCCGCTCCAGTGTCTGGGCACCTGGTTTCTGATTACTCAGTGAGGGACCTTCACCTCAGTGAGGGCCCCCGCGCATCTCCCTGCAAGCCTAGGTCGCTGGCGTGGTGACCTGGTCTGCCGTGATCCACGTTTGCTTTTCAAGAGTGCTGCTTTTCTGCACAAGCTTACCGGCCAGCCCGGGGCTGTGTGCAGGTATCCAGAGTCTTTGTTTTTCTCTAATGGCGCTTGGAGCCATTCGTTCACCTCTGAGGCGAATCCTGCAGGGTTCTCCACAGCTCCAGTTCACACGGTGTGGTGGCTGAAATAGTTCCGTTCCACTCACAGTCCTGCTTGATGCATAGTTTGTTCTTGTTGGTTGTTTTAGTTTTTTTGTTTTGTTTTGTTTTTTTCCTCCTTTCTGTTGGTCGGAGAGTGCTGACTTTGTGGGTGGTGGAGGTTAGCAGGGTTCTGAGCTTTCCTCCCTTCTAGTCCTCTTTCATGGCAACTTTCTTTTTCGGGTAATTTGCTGGAGTCTTCCGTTTATCTTCCGTGTCCCAGTTCTCATGGGACGTGCCACTTTTCCTCCCTATTAACTTTTTTTTTTTTAATGGGAGACCTTACTCACAGCGTTTCTTGCTGCCATGTTGATCCTATCCTAGAATATTCTACTTTTGAGTATGTTTGAAAATTTCTGTAATGAAGACGTGAGAAAAAGATGTAAGGCTAGAACGTCTTTTTGGTTCATGTCCATTTATTGGGTGGGCTTAAATAGAAAAGAGTTTGTACTTGATTTTGTAAGTTGTAGCTTCCCAATTATTTTTATTAGGAGCAAAGGAAAGCCATAATTGCCCTTATCACAGTAGATTTTCATCTATATTAAAGCTTCTTGAATTGGTGTCCAACTTAACTTCTGATCTCACCAGATTTATCTAGTACAGTTGCCCTTCATCAACATGGGTTTGAATAACACATGTTTGAACTGTGCAGGTCCACTTATCCATGAATTCTTTCCATTAAATATATTGGAAAATATTTTGGAGATATGAGACAATTTGAAAGAATTTACAGATGAACTGAGTAACCTGAAATACCCCCAAAAATTAGAAAAGGTTAGGTATACCAGAATATATAAAACATGTACATCATTATCACTACTATAAAATATGCAAATCCATTATAAAATGTTAAATTTTTTCAAAACTAATGCAAGCACAAGCTGAATATGAGGCCATTTGCAGTCAAGAGAAATGTAAAGAAACATACTGACAGACGGTTCATCTGTAAACAGACAACATAAACTTATAGTACCCAAAAATATAGTACAGTACTGTAAATGTATATTCCTTATGATTTTATTAATAACATTTTTTTTTCTCTAGCTTATTATCAGAACACAGAGTATAATACATATACAGAATATTTGTTAATTGGCTTATCGGTAAGCTTTCCAGTCATCTGCAGGCTATTAGTAATTAAATTAATTTTATGCAGATTTTTGACTGCACAGGGGGAAGGAGTCAGTGCCCTTAACCACTCCTTGTCCCCATGTTGTTCAAGGGTCAGCTGTATTTGATGTTGGGTTTTCTGATTGTCACCTGCAAGATGTGACAGACCCAAAACTGTATCTTAGATTGAACTTACCCCATGAAAATTATTCCATTATACCTGTCTGCTTCTAGCTTAATTTGGAATTTTCTTAAGTGACTGCAGTGATCTTTGTTGGATTTTTAATCTGAATTTAATAAATTAAGGGTAATAGAATATAAAATAAGCAAATTCAGACAGTTAACATTATTATATGCATTTAGACTTTGGAAAAGTATTGGTTTAGAATTTCAGAGAAGCCCTTACTTGGAATTTTTATTTTTATTTTATTTATTTTTTTAAGATTTTATCTATCTATCTATCTATTTATTTATACAAGCACTGGGTATAGTCAGAAGCACGGGAGGGTGAGAGAACTCACCAGAGCCAGAGCAGGGAACAGAACAGGCAGACTGACGAAGTACACTGCTGAGTGGAGCAGCGGGCGCGGCAAGAGAGGTCTGCGCACCATGTGGGACCTCACCCAGCAGCTGGGATCGAACTGGCGCTGCAGAGGCTGCAGGCAGCTTTGCAACCCAGTGCTCAGCTGCTGCACCACCGGGGAGTCCCTACTTGGAATTTTTAAAGTGTTTTTTAATATTGATTTTTTTTCTGATTTCAAAAAAGTGCTTGTTTTTTATGTTTTGCTAATTGGGATTATACTGTATGCACATTTTTGGACCATATTTTTCCCTGTTTTATGTTTAAGTATGAGAATTCTCTGTTATTAGCTACTTTGAGAACATTTTCTGTTTCTGCATGTTAGCATATATTACAAAATTTATGTAACTTTGCCTCTCATTAGATGGTTCTATTATTTATAATTTTTCACTTTTTTTGGTAGAGTTATGACAAATTCCTTATCAAAAAAATTGTTTAGTTTACACTATGTGGGCCTCCCCTAGTGGCACAGCGGTTAAGCGCTGGGCTGCGAAGCAGCCCGCAGCCTCTGCAGCACTGGTTTGATCCCCCGCTGCCGGCGAGGGTCCCACATGTAGCGCAGACCTCTCCTGCCGAGCCCACTGTTCCCCTCAGCAGTGTATTTCATCAGTCTGCCTCTTCTGTTCCCCGCTCTGGCTCTAGTGAATTCTCTCACCCTCCCACGCTTCTGACTGTCCCAGTGCTTGTATAAATAAATAAATAAATCTTTAAAAAATTTACACTATGTGCATATGTTTATTTCATTTAAAACTTGAATATGGTTTAGTCATAAAATTTATTTTAATAAGTGTCATATTGATTTGGGCTTTCAACTGCTTAATTTGTAACCAGAAGCCATTTTTCTTCTCCTAGGGAATAAAACCAGCCAGTTTCAATAAAGTCACTGATCCCGAAGTGAAAGAAATCATTGAAGGATGTATTCGTCAAAATAAATCTGCAAGGTGGGTACAAATGTAGTGAAATGACAAAACTGATGGACACATTTTCCTCTTAGCTTACACTGGGGCATTTTCTGACCTTCAACTTATGCTGAGTATGACTTTTGAGTGGAAGACAAGCTGTACTGTCTAGAGTGAAGTGTGTGCATGTATTTTTTTGCCATTTTAGATTTTTATCATGTGTTGAATTTTCCTTGAACCAACATTTGGGTTGTGTGTGTGTGTTTTTGTGACAAGTTTTCATCACCTTCACCCATCACTTTAAATGACAGTGAACCTCCACTAGGTTAACATGCTTGTAACAGTTGATAGTAAAGAATTACTGCAGAGTCCTGATAAATACTTAATTGTTTTTATGACAGTTTTAAAAAAATTTAACCATCAATTCACCAGATGTTTTTTATTTGATCATATGTTATTGTGTCACGATAATGGTAAAGCAAATAGGGCTATTTTTTGTTCAAGAAATAATATTCTAGATTTATTTGTGTTATAATTCATATTTTTCTTAAGGATACTGTCCTTTAGTTTTAGCTTATTTTTTTTTTTTTTTGTTAAGTCAGAACTTTGGATAGTTGCTGATTTAACTTGGTAGGTTAGTCTTTTGATTTTTAACCTCCTTATTGATTTTGATTAATAAAGATGGTTTGTCCTTTATAGAAATTATTTCCACCAATATATCATTGACTGTTCCCTGTTTTTATTAGTTTTCTATCCAAATTTAGTTTGCATATCTGAAAATATATGAAGCCACTAAGGTAAAGCTTGTTTTATTATAACCTTATTGCAGAAAATTCTTAGTGCTTATACCAACAGGGTATATATGGGTATGCATATATTTAAGTATGGTAAAATATATCTAACTTAAAATTAACCCTTTTAATTGTTTTAAATAGCATTAAGTACATTCACATTTTTGTACACCTATCACTATTTCCAAAAGTTATTCATCAACCCAAACAAACTGTACTCATTAAGCAACAACTCCTTATTACCTCTTCCCCTCAACCTCTGGTAACTTCTATTTAATTTTCTGTCTCTCTGACTTTGCTTACTAATGTACTTCATATAATTGGAATCATATAATATTTGTCCTTTCGTGTGTAGCTTATTTCACTTAACATAGTGTTTTCGAGATTAATCCCTGTTATAGCATATATCAGAATTCCCTTCCTCCTTAAGGCTGAATAATATCCATTGTATACACACACCACGTTTTGTTTATCCATTCATTTATTGGATATGGATTATTTCTACTTTTTGGCTATTGTAAAGAGTTGCATGAACACTGGTATACATGTATTTGCTGAAATAATACCTGCTTTCAATTATTTTTGGTATATACCTAGGAGTGGAATTACTGGATCACATAGCTTTATTTAATTTTTTAAGAAACAGTAAGGTTTTCCCATAGTGAGTACACCATTTTGCATTCCCGTAAGCAGCATCTGAAGCTTCCAATTTCTTGGTCTCCTCAGCAACACTTGTTATTTTCCTTTTTTTTTTTTTTCATTAAAGCCATTCTAATGAGTGTTTATCTCATTGTGGTTTGATTTGTATTTTCCAAATGACTAATGGTACTGAGTACCTTTTCATGTGCATATTGGTCATTTATATACCTTTTTTTTGAGTAAATGTTTATTCAGGTCCTTTGGCTATTTTAAATTGTTGTGAATTTTTCCTTTTGCGTTGTAGGAATTTAGGCATACCTTTTTAAAAATGAGGCAAAAATACTGTGTTGAAGTAGCCATTTTAATTGCTGACTATACAGTATTTTACTTATCATCTATTACCAAAGCACTGGATTATTCAAAAGGATTCATAGCATATTATGTTGGAAAGAGCACAGGTTTCAAAGTCAGATTAAGATTCAAATCTGGACACATGCTTAGCCAAGTATGATCTTTAGCAAGTTACTTAGCCAAATGTTCCTTAAAACAGGTATTATTTTGATAATAAAAAGGTGATGAATGCATATAAACCTAACATATTAGTATTTAATGAATTGTATCTTCTATTGCTATTGTTATTCCTTATTAAATTACATAGGCAAAATTTTCATTGGGAGGCAGAGGGTTTAACTTGGTTGTACCTTCTTAAACACATCTTATCTTAGCCTTAAAACTGATTAGTAAGTTTATTCATTTTAGTTAAGTATTTGCCACTTGAATACTACAAATGTAGAGATTTGAAAATCCTCAACTTACAGGATACCATGCTCTAATCTGCTTTATATCTTTTAGAAATTACTGGAGATAGGGGCTTTGCACATAGACATTAATGGAATACATCAGTTTTAGCTTTCCCTGACCTACTATATTATGAATGGGTTAGATATTAATATATCTCATTTAAAAGTTGATGAAAGAAGGGCCTCCCTGGTGGTGCAAGGGGTTAAGATGCAACCTATGAAGTTGTCCACAGCCACTGCAGCATGAGTTCGATCCCCGGCCAGGGAGCAACCTACATGGCTCAGCAGACCTCTCCTGACTCTCCCACTGCTCCCCTTAGCAGTGTACTTCGGTCTATTTGCCTGTTCTGTTCTCCACTCTGTCTCTGGTGAATCCTCTCACCCTCCACACCTCTGGCCTGTACCCCAGCTCTTGTATACATAAATAAACATAAATCTATAAAAGTTGATGAAAGAAAGGGAAATTAACTGTCCCAGCTTGTAAAAGAATTTTTTGAACCCTGTCATTTTTTCTCTTCAGACATGATTAATGCCTAATATTAGGCTAGAGTTGTATCCATTGTGTTCTTTGACCTAAAACTAGACTTAACATACTCTGAGAAAATCATAGTACTTTGCTGAACTAAAATAACTTCAGCCATGGCATTCTCTGAAGAGTAAAATCTACTGACTAGATTATCCATAATGGTATCAATGACTTCTTTTTATAACATTTTTAAGAGTTTGAATTTCTAATTTACCTTAGTGTTTATATATCCAGAAATGTTTTTATTGTTCTTTGCCTAGAATCTATTGTTTTGAGTTTTAGCAATTTATAAGCCAGTGGTTTAGGGAAACTACTCAGTCTACCTAATGTATGCTGCAGTACTTCTCTAATTCTCTCTAGGCATACTTCTAGGTATATTAAACTTCAGTATCTAGATATATTACTGGTAAGAATCTTTAAGTTTACTACATGTGCATGTAAGTTGGAATTTCTTTGCATCCTTAGTAATAAGTTGGACGTAAGATTTGACTTTTATAACAAGACAGATTAATGGCTTAATAAAGAAATTAAAATAAGATTGTTACTTTGATACAACTAATTTTTAACTATTAAGGGTTCTATATCTTATTTATGATTGGACGAATTGATAATAAAATACATATTTTGTTTGTTAGGTTGTCTATCAGGGACCTACTAAACCACGCATTTTTTGCTGAGGATACAGGACTAAGGGTGGAATTAGCAGAGGAAGGTGATTGCTCAAATTCATCCCTGGCTTTAAGACTTTGGGTTGAAGACCCTAAAAAATTGAAAGGGAAGCACAAAGACAATGAAGCTATTGAATTCAGTTTCAATTTAGAAACAGATACACCTGAGGAAGTAGCATATGAAATGGTAAGTACATTTTACCATTGTCCCACTCCTCCCCTCCTATAATATTGGGATTGGTTCCTTTCTCCTCATAGCTTTTATTCCTCTCCTTTTCTCCTTTTCTCTCTTTATATTGTAATTTTATTATGAACTTTATAATAGAGTGTATTGAATTTCTATACATGGTATAAGGGATAATAAAACACTACCTTTTTTAAGAAATAGAGAACTATCGATTTCTGAGAAGCCACCTGGGTTCCCCTCCAAGTTATATTATCTTCTCATAACCATAACTAATATCTACCCTGACGTTTTTATTACTCATTCCTTTGTTTTTTATTACAGTGTACTTAAGTAATATATTATTTCATTTTGAAGAACTGAGTGGCAAGCACACACCAAACTGGTCACTACAGTTGCTATTAGAAAAGATGTCCAGGAGAGGATGAGCAGAACAGTTTCTCTGCCATACTGTGGCTTCATATTCCCTAGAGTTTACAAGAGCTGCTTCTGGGGGAGTTAGTGGATGAGTCTAGACAAGTAAATACACGACTCACCACAGTCAGGGCACCAGAGTTGTATTGTTGTGTGGACCAGAAATGATTTGTATGGTAACAATATGGTTTGACTTCTCTGACTTCTCTGCTTCTAATCTCCCTATGACCACCCCCTGAAAAGTAGATGACAGCTGGTAATTTCTGTGGGGTGGAAGGTAAGTCCACATCTGATCCATGCTGCTGCAGTGCTTGGAGGGAAGGTGTGCATCGGCTTGGCAGCATGTGGTCAAGATTAGCCAAGTACAGATTCTCTGAGCAAGGCTCACCTGGGCATTCTGTCCTCAGGTTAAAAAAAAATGGGACAATGACAGTAGAGATGTTGTAGGTGAAAGCCTTTAACATGTTTTTCTAGTTAAACTATTGGAATATGGAATGATTGCCATGGACAGCTGTTGCACAGACATCATCCTGGTAATTTGCCTTTACTATCGTCCTAGATTTCTCTATCTCTCCACTGTATTGGATTTTGTGTTCCTAAATCCCATGTCTTTCTCGGCTTATCCTCTTGTTTTAGCGGCATACTTCCCCTGCTAGCTTCTCAAGAAAGGATACATGGAATGCAAATTATTTGATACTTGCATGTATGAAAATGTCATTATTCTATCTTCATACTTCATTGATTATTTGGCTAAATAAGGCATTTAAAAAAAATTAGAGTCCATTACTTCATGCTCTTCTAACTTTCAGTATTGATTTTGAGAAGTCCAGTGTTTTGTTTTCTATCTTTTGCTTGCAATCCATTTTTTTCCTCTGTGGAAGCTTGTAATATCTTCTCAGTATTCTAAAACTTCACATTGTTGCGTCTTGGCTTGGGTCCATTTTCCTTTTTTTTAAATTCTTTTTTTTTTTTAAGATTTATTTATTTATTTATACAAGTACTGGGTACAGTCAGAAGCGCGGGAGGGTGACAGAATTCACCAGAGCCAGAGCAGGGAACAGAACAGGCAGATGGACTGAAATGCACTGCTGAGGGGAGCAGCAGGCGCAGCTGGAGAGGTCTGTTGCGCCATATGGGACCCTCGCCGGCGGCCAGGGATCGAACTGGCATTGCAGAGGCTGCAGGCAGCTTCGCAGCCCAGCACTCAACCGCTGTGCCTCTAGTGGAGGCCCTTGGGTCCATTTTCATCCACTGTGTTGGATACTGTGGACTGCCCCAAACTGTTAAAACTTATATCCCTTCAATTTAGGAAAATTCCTTCCATGGTTTCTTTTTCTCTTTTATTTTCTCTTTTTGGAATTGCTGGTATTTTGACATTTCTCCAACATTTTATGTTTTCCGTCTGCATTTTTTTATTAATTAATTTATTTACATATATTTTACAGCATTGTGGTTTTTTTCTTTTCTTTTTTTTTACAGTTTTGCTTTCTTTTCAAGTGTAGTCCCCATAGAATTTCCAACACCAATTCACCTATGCATCATCACCATAATCCCTTGGCTCTTCCTGCCCTCTTTTTATTTATTTATTTGTTTGTTTGTTTGTTTGTTTATTTATTTATTTATCTATCTACCTACCTATCTATCTATTTATTTATTTATTTATTCTGGTGGTAAATGGACTGATGGCATTAAAAAATATATTTATTACATCATCTTTCATTTCCCCGCCCTCTTTTTAAGTTCCCCCTCCCCCTCCCATGCAGAATGTCTCTAGTTTATAGTTGTCTGTTTATTTTTGTTTTGTTGTGTTGTGTTTTTTTCTTGTTAATATTTTTTCCCTGATCCCTTATTTGGTTCCCCTATATTTCTCCTATAAATGAAACCATCCGATATTTTACTTTTTCCTTCTGACTTATTTCACTGAGCATAATCCTGTCAAGCTCCATCCATGTTGCTGCAAATGGCATGAGTTTATCTTTTTTTTTTTAAATTTTTAAATTTTATATATTTTTACAGTATTTTTCATTTTTGTGCAATGTATGCATTTTCATCTTGTTTATAGTCCCCATACAATTTCTACCACCCTTGTTTTGATCCTACTCCCTCCCTCCCCTGTAGTGTGTAATAAACTACTACAAATTTAGTGGCTTACACAAGACCCATTTATTATCTCATAGTTCTATAGGTCTGAAGCCTTGGTGGGCTTTACTGACTTCTCTACTTGGTGTCTCAGAAACTGAAATCAAGAACTATATGACTCTGGCTCATCTGGAGGCTCTGGGGGAGAATCTGCTTTCAGAATCTTCCAGTGTGTTGGCAGAATTCAATTCCATGTAGTTGTAAGATGCACACAGTACTTTCTTGTGCCCACACTCCATCTTCATAGTCAGCAAGTGTGTCAAATCCTTCTAGTGTCACCAGATGATAAAATGCTTACCCAGATAATCTCCTTGTCTTAAAATCAAAGGTACATATAACAATAATGGGAGTGGGCTCTCACATTTGTACATTTGAGCATTAGGATATGACATCTTTAAGGAGCTATAATTTTGCCTACCACAAAAACTTACAAGCTGATTGGATGGTATAATTGCTTGTGTAGGACTTGTCATCTTTGACTCTACTATAGGAATATGGGTGTACCATTAAATCGAGGTATCTCTCACATCAATATTTGTATGTCCTTTTTCCTTGGACTGGTCAGATTCCCCAAAGAAGTTTCTTTCTGTGTCCTTCCTGGAGGTTAAGGGTCTGTTTACTGGAATTTTGGTAACCAAGTAGGGAAAAGGAGGAGGGGTTTCTGCATATGGCATTCAGCATGCATATGTTCATTTAATCCTCTTGTTTTCCACATGGTTAGCCATTTGCTAAACTGTGCCCAGCATTCCATTGTCTAGAGAGCGTCTCTTTTACACTCACCAGAAAACAAAACTCCAGACCTCTCAGGTAGGGGAGAGATAATCACCTCAGAGTGTGGAATGGAGGATAGGACACAGGGACCTAAGTATTTAACTGCTTCTCAAAATCCTTCCACTTAGCCTGCCTGCCTCCCTCCCTCCCTCTTTTCCTTACTTCCTTCCTGCCCTCCTTCCTTTCTTCCTTCGTTCCCTCCCTACATCCCTCCTTTGATTTTTTATTTTTGCATAGAAGAACTGGGTTGTAGGTCAGAGGTGAGGGGGTGAGAGGATTCACCAGAGACAGAGTGGGGAACAGAACAGGCTGATTTAGTGAAATTCACTGCTGAAGGGAGCAGTGGGAGAGACAGGAGAGGTCTGCTGTGCCAAATGGGGGTTAGCTCCCTGGCCAGGGATCAAAATCAGGCCATCATGGTGGGCCTTCGAAATGAGATTTAACCCCTAGGCCACGAGGGAGGCCCCCCACTCAGTCTTTCTTATTTTAGTCATTTCTTTTGACTTTTCCCAGTTCTGGAAGTACCCAAAATTGCCAGTTCCTGTGCCTTATGGGTACTCTTCAGTATATAATAGGAATGATTCCTGATTTCCATAGTTTATCATTTTAATATCTGCTAGGTCAGTTGTTGCTTATCAGTTTGTTTTCCGTATTCCAGATTGTCCAAAATGTTCTTGCTGTTGTATTTTTCTTATTCATGTCCTCATTGGTGTATAGCTTAAAATCCATTTATGGGTCTTTTTTTTTTCCCCAGGAGTTTTGGATTGAAATGGATTGAAATTAAATATATGGTTTCCATCTAGCATTTTAATCATCTTTCAACTACCCTGAAATTTCTCAGAGGGCCTCCCCTGGTAGCGCAGCGGTTGAGCGCTGGGCTGCGAAGCTGCCCGCAGCCTCTGCAGTGCCGGTTCGATCCCCGGCCGCTGGCGAGGGTCCCACAAGGCACGCAGACCTCTCCAGCTGCGCCCGCTGCTCCCCTCTGCAGTGTACTTCCTCTGTCTGCCTGTTCTGCTTTCCACTCTGGCTCTGGTGAATTTTGTCACCTTCCCGCACTTCTGACTGTACCCAGTGCTTGTATAAATAAATAAATAAATAAATCTTAAAAAAAAAAAAAAAGAAATTTCTCAGAGTCTGCAGACCCCAAAGACGTGTAGGACTGAGGGGCCTCCCTGGTGGCACAGGGGGTTAAGCACTGCACTATGCAGCAATCCACGGCCTCTGCAGCACAAGTTCGGTCCCCAGCTGGCCAGGGAGCAGCCCACATGGCTAGCAGATCTCTCCTGTCTCTCCCGCTGCTCCCCTCAGCAGTGTATTTAGGTGGATCTGCCTGTTCTGTTCCCCAATCTGTCTCTGGTGAATCCTCTCACCCCCCGCATCTCTGGCCTGTATCCCAACTCTTGTATGCATAAATAAATAAATGTTTTTTTAAAAATTGTGGGACTGAGAATGATATGCTGTGGCACCTCCTCAAGTCATTTTTTTCTACTATTCAACTCTGTTCCTCTCAAACAATAAGCATTGCCTCTCCTCCCCACTTCTCTCTTCCCCTCCCCTCTCTCCCTCTCTGTGCTCATGCCTAGTAGTGCTTTGTTTGCTGTTAGCATACTTCCTTCTGCTTAAAGTATTGATTTTCAATCTTCATCTATACCTCCATCAATAGTCTACATATTCCTTTTTTTGTTTGTTTTAATCCTTCATCAGGATTTACTGTCCTCTGTGACACTTTTTCTACTTCCTCAAGAGATGCATGCATGTGTTCTTCCTGTTTGGTTTTAGCCTCAGCTCATATCTTCATTTTAAATTATCCATCTCACATCACCAACTTAGTCAACTGTATATGTCTCTGGAGTCTAACATCGGACACATTGTAGGCACTTAATATTGCTGAATGAGGAGACCTTTTTAATATTTCATAAAATTTAATGACACTCATAAATTGCCTGTGGTAAGACTGCATGTACTGAAATATCAAGTTGGTTTTTGCTTAAAGACAGAATTGTTTCAACAATGCTTAGTAGCAGTATTGTTTTCCTTATGCTGATTAAGGACTCTGGCATTTATATATGTCTGACTAAGAAAGACAAAGAATATAGTGACAAATAACATGTTATTTAATAGCATTTGGGATTTGGGGGCACAAGAATAACTCTACTATTAAAAAATTAAAATCTTAGATGTTACAGATGTAGTTTGCTTTTTATGTTTTCTTTATAGGTCAAATCTGGATTCTTCCATGAAAGTGATTCTAAAGCTGTTGCTAAGTCCATTAGAGATCGAATCACCCTGATTAAAAAAACAAGGGAGAAGAAGCCAGCTGGCTGTTTGGAAGAACGAAGAGATTCCCAGTACAAGCCTGTAGGGAATGTACTCCCCCAGCACCAGAGTACAACCTTGCCCTCTGCAACTCCTCAGCAGACCGGGGCTGAATGTGAAGAAACTGAAGTTGATCAACATGTTCAACAACAGCATCTACAAAGAATAACACCACAGCAGCACTCCTCTGTTACAGGTAACACAGTTATAATTTATAAAAGCAAAAATTATATAATTGTGTTCCCTTGTGTTTGAATAGTACTTTTTTGTGTTTTTTGAAGCATGTGTTATCTATCTTTCCATCGGTCCTTTTACAAAAATCCTGAAAGAAAAAACAAGCCAGCTAATTTCTTTATTTTAAAATTAAGCAACTGTTAACTGACTTATCCAAAGTACTAGTTGACTAAGGATTCTAATCCAGCATTTAGTTATAGTCAAGAAAAAGTAAAATGACTTTTAAAGACCATTTTTTAAGGATCTAATGTAAATATAACCTTAATAAAGAAAATTTTTCAGCTGAAGGTACGGTTTATTCTTTAAGAAGGAATTTTATAGATCTTTGTAGTTTTATAATTTTTCTACTATAACTTTGTATTTTATAATTTTTCTACTATAATGCATTCTCTCCTCCTGAAGGATACAGTATTTTCATAGTAGTAACAAATTATTATAAAGATGATATTATTTTCTAACCAGGTTCTAGGAGAATCCAAATGAGAATATTATACTTTACTGAATATGATTTTTAAAAATTATTTTTATTAATTACTTTTTAATTTTTTTACATCATTGCTCATTTTTAAACAATATTTGCTTCCCCCGACCCACTCAGGTGTAGTCCCCATAGAGTTTCCTTCACCACTGCACCTGTGCACCATCACCTCAGTCCCTTGTGCTCCTCTTCCCTCCCTCTGATGCCTCTCCCTCCTCCTCCCCTGCAGTATGTCTCTGATTTATAATTTTAATGAAATCCTAATGACAAATATAGATTACTTAGGAATATACAGGAACTGGTTAGAAAATGGAGTTGATTCTTATGCTATTCTTTGTTTCTGTGTTTGCTTTACTAAGAAAATTTTAGTTCTGCCACAGTGAGAGCATGGAGAGTTTACCTGATTATTTTTTAAATTAATTCTGCAGTGTACATATTTTACTTAAAGGTGTCTCAGGTTGTCAGAGGAAAAAGAAAATTTAAGGAAACACCATTTCTTATGTCATTTTAGTCTTGAGCTTTTAATTTTCCCTTCTACCTGTTGCTTATTTTCTTTGCTGTAGGTGACAATTTGTTCGAGGCAGGACCTGGATCAGTTACATACTCAGATACTTCAAATCAGCCAAGTATAGTCTGTTCCTCAGACCAGATGATGGGCTCTCAAATGGTTTCTAACATCCCACAGACTGAAATAAATGTTCCAGGGCAAATTTATCCATCCCAGCAACTAGTAGGACATTACCAACAGATTTCAGGGGTAAGATGAACTGTTATATTTTAAAATATATAGTCAACATAGTTCCTGTAAATGGGAGAGTTTATCTTAAATCTTTTCTTTTTCTTATTTAACAGTTGCAGAAGCATCCAAAGTTGACTCATCCCGAAATTTTGCCTTTGGTACAAAGTCAGTCCACTGTTTTGCCTGTACATGTCCTTGGACTTCCAGTTGTTTCACAACCCCAGGTTTGCCCATTAACTGTCCAGAAGGTCTCAGAGATAAAGGTAAGATACATTTTTTAGAGATTCCATATTCAGTTAAGCATATTTAACTCTGCCTAGATTTTCTGATAGGCAGGACTCCCTTTCTTTTTCTTTTTCTCTAAATATCAGTTTTATTATTTATTTATTTATTTTACTGAGGTAACATTGTCTTACATTAATATTGGGTTTTTTGAAAGCATAGGATTCCTTCCCTCCCCTCAGGTATTGTCACCATAGTATACCCACCACCAAATCACCTCTAGTCGACTGTGCTCCCTTTTCTTTTTATTCTCATCCCTCCCTACCACCTCTCCCACTGGATGCTTTGGTTCTATAAAGACTCCCTTTCATGAATTTATCATAGTTTATATAAAGTTTACTTAAAGATAAAAGTCGTTTATGATTTCCTTCACCTGTGACATTCTTCTTGAAGATGTGCTTAATATTGTGTAATTAGAATCCTGAGGCACTTCTAGTTTTTATTGGGAAAAAAAATGAGAAATCAGTAGATGGATAAAATTTTACTTAGGGTTCTGATCTCTCTCTCTTGGTAATGATGGCTTGTTCTTTGTATTGAACTTTTCTAGCCTGATTTGAATGTAGAGGGATTTTTTTTTTGCCGTTAATTAGAAATACTATTTCATATGCTCATAATTTTTATTACTTTCATCTAAATCCTTGACTTTTTGATTCATGTTTGTATCTGTAGGAGAAATAAAAATGTTTTCATCTTTTAAACTTTCAAAGTTAGTAAGATTTCTGACAATTAAGAAGCAATATTTGTGTGAGTTTATATATCAAGACTATAACCTGGCTCCCTAGCTTATGGATTTTGGACATATGGTTGGACTTTTCTTTATCATCACTCTTTATTCTTTCCTCAACCTTGACATACCCTGTGTGTACCTTCTACCTTTGGAAATGAGATGGTGTAAGCTTCTAGGCGTTCTCTGTGTATGATTTAGTAAACAGCAGATATATCTGTTTCTTTTTAAGTGCTTGTTGTATAGTCAGCCACAGTTCATCAACAAACTTTTAATGACTACCATTTCTGGAAGTACAAAGTAAAATAAAACATGGTCCTTACCCTCAGAGAACTCGAAGTCTTGTAGGGAAAATCATACATGTATGTACTTCACAAATGCCAGATGAATTTAAAATCTGCTGGGATAAATTTTATATGGTATAGTTAACAGTACCTGGTATTTGGCTAGTATTTGTAGATAATATGGTACATATCTATAACTGGATTCATGTTGTGGTTTAATTTGTCTCTTACAAATGTTTTGAGTGGATACTTAGTTCAGGTTCAGCCACATAAATATATAGGTATGTGTGTTTAAAAATATGTTTCCAAATGTTCAGCATCACTTATAATCAGGGAAATGCAAATCAAAACCACAATGAGATACCACCTTACACGAGTGGGAATGGCACATATTAAAAAAAAACTAGCAACAACAAATGTTGGCTAGGATGTGGAGAAAAAGGAACTCTCCTACACTGCTGGTGGGAATGCAAACTGGTCCAACCACTATGGAAAGGTGTTTGGAGGTTCCTCAAACTGCTAAAAATGAAACTTCCATATAATCCAGCATTTCCACTCCTAGGGATCTACCCAGAGAACACAAAATCATTAATTTAAAAGGAAACCTGCACCCCCATGTTTATTGCAGCACTATTTACAATAGGTAAAACCTGGAAACAACCCAAATGTCCAAAAATAGAAGACTGGATCAAGATGTGTTATATATACACAAAGGAATACTATTCAGCAATCAAAAAGATAAACTCATGCCATTCACAGCAACATGGATAGAGCTAGAAGGGATTATGCTCAGTGAAATAAGCCAGAAGGAAACAAAAATATCATATGGTTTCACTTATAGGAGGATTATAGAGGAAACAACTAAGGGATCAGGGAAAAATTAATAAATAAAAAATCAAAATTAATAGCCATTATAAATCAGAGATATTTTGCAGGGGAGGAGGAGGGAGAAGGATCAAAACAGGGGTGGCAAGTGCACAAGGGAATATGGTGATGATGCACAGGTGAATTGGTGGTGGAAATTTTACAGGGACTATACCTGAAAGGAGAAAGCAAACATTGTACAAAAATGAACAATGTTGTAAAATATATGTAAATAAATAAATTCAAAAAATGTGGTTCCACCAAACAAAGGGTCATAAAAAAGACAAAACTTACAGGCAAACTATAGATCTGAGGCATACAGTGGTTGGGGGAGGGATCAAAACAGGGAAGAGAAGTGTGCAAAGATCTATGGGGATAGTTTATGGGTGATGTGGTGGTGGGAGATTTATGGAGACTGCACCTGGTGGGGAAATCAAATATTGTACAAAAATGAAAAATGATTTAAGAAAATAAAAAAATTGTAAAATAAATAAAAATCTTTAAAAAATGTGTTTCAAAAATTAAAATATTTCAAAATTTATTATAAAAGTGGCATATGCATATTTAAAAGTGAGGCCCAGGAAGTTATAAAGAAGTCAGTGAAAATCATTGATTATTTCTCTAACTAAAGATAACTTGTTGTTTATATTTGGGGATATAGCTTCTAAATTCGTCTTTTTTTTCTTATATATATACATATATAATTTTATATATATATATACATGTCACATACATACCATTTTCTAACCTATCCTTTTTATGTACTAGGGGCCTTGTAAACAAACCCTATCACCATTGGTGTCTTTTTATGAGTGTGGTAGTTCAAGCTCTAGGGATTATTGCAGCCAGCTTATATATATTTCAGCAACTCTCCTCTTTTTTTTTTTAAATTTGTTGTTCTTACATCTTTGCTAATGTTCGAACAGTATTTGATTCCCCTCAGGTGTAATTCCATAGCTCTCCCACCACCATAGCAACCATGATCCGTCTTCTCCATTCCTTATGCTCTCCCCTCCCCTGTTTTGACCTTCCTCCTTCTCCCTCCCTTGCTGTATGCCTGAGATCTATGGATAGTTTGCAAATTTTGTCTTTTTCCTAACACTTTATTCAGTTTTTCTATATCATACATATAAGTGAAACCATCAGATATTTATCTTTTTCCTTCTGACTGATTTTGCTTAGCATAATCACTTCCAGCTCCATCCATGTTGCTGCAAATGGCATACATCATCTTTTATTTTTTAAAAGATTTATATATTTATGCATACAAGAGCTGGGCACAGGTCGGAGGTCTGGGGGGTGAGAGGATTCACCAGAGACAGAGTAGGGAACAGAACAGGCAGACTGACTGAAGTACACTGCTGAGGGGAACAGTGGGAGAGTCAGGAGAGGTATGCTGCGCCATGTGGGTTGCTCCTTGGCCAGCCAGGGATTGAACTTGTGGTGCAGAGGCTGTGGACAGCTTCATAGGTTGCCTCTTAACCCTTTCTGCCACCAGGTAGGCCCCATACGTTATCTTTTTTGATCACTGAGTAGTATTCCATTGTGTATATATACCACATTATCTTGATCCAATCTTCTCTTTCGGGGTACTTTTTCTCCTCTTGAGATAATGTCTGTGTTCATTTTAGCTTTCACGTTGAAATCCTGTTGTACTTTCTCTTGGAAATTCCACTGTCCGGTGTATGAAGGTGTCAGATTCATTTACTCTTAAAGCTCTGCCAGGGTTTGAATTAGTTTTATGGTAAGTATGGTAAATGAGAAGCCGTGAGCTGTATACTTCTGGGATGGTCTGAGACTCTTAATGTTTTCAACTATCATTTACTCATGGTATTAGGATTTTTATAGGACTAACACTATACATAACACCTTTTTGATATAACTTGCTGACATTTTTAGAATATAGTAATGTTTTACCTATCATTCTATCTGGTACAGTTCCATTAAAATGGGCATGGCATATGCATTTTTAACCTGAGTTTTCCTTGCATTAGCACCAGGAACTGCAGTTGACCTTTGGATTAGATGGAAATACTTCAGCCCCACCTGTGACTTTAGATTTGTCAGTTACTGGATTTGCACAACCAGTCTTTTCTACAGTTTCTCTTCAGACATTGCCTGCTTCACAAATCACTTCATAGGATCCAACAGTTGGTCCTCAACCTGAGCCTGGCCCTAGAAATGGGACCCAGATATTAACCAAATCATCAGATGCCAATCAGATCTATTTTCTCAGCAGTTAATCACCCACAAGCTTTGTTCTGTGGATTATTGTTTCACTTTCTGGATAGTGTCCTTTGCAGCATAAAAAAATTTAATTTTATAAATTCCAATTTATGTTTTTTTTTGTGCTATTGTTGTTATATCTAAAAACCTGTGACCTTAAGGTCACTTTTATTCCCCCATGTTTCCTTCTAATACTTTTACGTTTTAGTTCTTAAATGTAGGCATTTGATCCATTTTGAGTTAATTTTTACATATAGTTTGAGGTAGAAGTCCAATGTCTTCTTTTTGGAAAGATTATTTTAGCTGTTCTGGGACTTTTATCTTTCTGTATAAATTTTAGAATATACATGCCTATGTCTATAACAACCCTTGCTGGGATTTTGATAGAAATTATATTAATCTTATAAGTAAATATGGGGAGAATTGACACCTTTACTATGTTGATTTTGCCAGTATATGAGCATGATTTTTTTTTTAGATTTTTTTTTAATTTATACAAGCACTGGGTACAGTCAGAAGCGCTGGAGGGTGAGAGAATTTACTAGAGCCAGAGCAGAGAACAGAACAGGCAGACTGACGAAATACACTGCTGAGGGGAGCAGCGGGCATGGCAGGAGAGGTCTGTCATGCCATGTGGGACCCTTGCCGGTGGCCAGGAATCGAACCAGCCCTGCAGAGGCTGCAGGCAGCTTCGCAGCCCAGCGCTCAACCGCTGCGCCACCAGGGGAGGCCCATGAGCATGATTATTATGGCTTTGTAGTAGGTAGTTTGAAGGAGTGTGATGCCTGCATTCGGTTCTTATTTTTCCAGGACAGCTTTGGCTGTTTGGGGTTTTTGGTGGATCCATATGAATTTCATCAACATTTGTTCTATTTCTTTGACGAATG